CTCGTGTAGCTTTGCGCGAAATTCAAAACAAACAACACTGATTGATGTTTAGTTCTTATCTATGTAAGTAGCTTGCTTTAATCAGAAGTTAATATTCGTTTTTGTTAACATTTTAATAGTGAGCTGTCGATCTTAATACTTTTCAGCATTTTAAAGAATAATTTATGATTTTAAATTCTTAAATATTTATATCGTATTAGATTGCTTCCCTCTTTTTTTTTTTCACATTATTAGGCCCACATGGTTGCAGCATTCGAACAAAGCCTTTCCAACATGACTGATCGGTTTCAACACCTTACTGCAACGGCTGAACAGAAAGTAAGTTTGTTTGAGTTTGTTTAAGTGGCAGGAGGAAGTTTACTCCATAAGACCAGAACATGCACGGAAAAAAAGGAAAAAAATTGCTATTTAGGCTAACAAATGGACTAGTTAAACTATATTAATGTAGTTTCAAAATGTTAGTTGTTTATTTGGATAGGCGTTTGGATGTTAAGTGGGGAAACCAGTTTTTTCTGTCTAATAAGATTTCCTCATATAATCTCAATATAACGATTTAGCTATTTATTTGTATAACAGAATGAGCATCATTGTGTTATTTGTAGCTATTCATTTAATGGATCAATTGTATGTGTAACTGTTTGTCGGATAATATGATGTGTTACTATATGCCTATATACTATATAGTGTGATGTGTTACAGGATTCAGAGCTTGGAGAACTACGAAACACAATCGAGGACCTGAAAAAACAGAGTACTGAAGCTGGTCTCACGAAGATGGCGCTACAGTCAATGCAAGCGGTCGAAAGGAGTAAGCTTTGAAAAGTGAAAATAATGTTCATTTTTATAAAACACTTTGATATTGGAATCAATCTGCACGGTAACCTTATGCATAATATGAACTGAACAGCCAGATCGGGTAACCCCAAGGCTCAGGCATAGCCATTCCTAATTCAGAGCTGCTGGCCAGAGTGAGGACATCCGCCATACACGACTACTCTTAAGAAAGCGATAACCATTCTTGAATGGGTGTTGTTCCGCAAGACACGAGAAGAAAAACTTGAATAAATGATAAATTGACACGGTATTTACTCCTGACGAAGGGCGTCCGCTCGAAACGTCGAACAAAATAATCTAGAAAAAGGTTTCATTTATTTCAATTTATTTTTATTATCATTTATCCACGGTTATAGCGCTCTAACAGCTTTAAGTGTAGAGCTTGTTCAGCGACATCACGCAGTTCGAACCTTGGACCCTCTGATCTACAGTTTAGCGTGCTAATTATTAGTCCATGCCCGCTTATTTTGAAATGTATATTCACGACATGTGAGGTAGATACAATATTAGTTAAATATTATCTGAGATAAAAATAATCTTCGAGTTGTAGACATCGAGCAGTAAAATTTACTTTTATCGAATCTCAACTGAATATCGTCATGTTGTCAAATAACAATGATTTTAGTCATTATTTAAGCCTCTGTCCAAACTATACTTTACGAATTGTATAAACTTTAAGTACTCGTTCAATCTATTGTCAAATTAGAGAAAACTTCATAGCATCAGTTATCTAATAGAAACACTTCTAGTGGGTAGTATTGAACTAAACTCATCGGAATTGTTTTAAAACTTTAAAGCTTAAAACTAAATATATTTGAAGGATTAATTATTAACTGTCATTTATGCACACCGCCAGTGACGTCGCTAGGTGCTTAAAAGATTCGAGGCTCGGGCCCAAAGGCGTGGGAATTTTCGGCGTTTCCGTATGATATCGATCATGGTTTTTTTTATACTGATTTTTTCAAAACACCAAATGGAGATTCGGAGCACTGTCAAATAGAATCGTATGCCAGCGCCTAGCGACGCCTCTGCATACCGCACTCCCAGTTTATCATATATATATAGTTGCTTTTAATTTGTAACCCGTCAAACACAGCCTTTGAGAAAGCGAATATCATGCTGACTTTGTAAGAACACGAAAGTATTTTTAGAATGGTGTATGTTAAGTTTTCAGGAAGGATTCGCACACAGTTTGTTACAAAAATATGAAAGTCTTACCTGAACAACTGTGTTTTTTTTATTTGTTTTTATTTTGTTGTTGTTTTCTACTGAAACATTTTCAATGTGCTTGTGCAAAATACATCGGCAACCACTGCAGAGTACATAACGCATCTTCATTTCATAAATATCGTTGCAACATTGTGTATATTTACCTGTTTAAAAAACAGGCTGGAAGTTCCATAATCTGACATTACGAAAAAAGCTGGCCCGACATGGCTAGATGGTTACGGAGCTCGACTCGCAATCTGCGGGTCGCGGGTTCGAATCCCCGTCACACCAAACATGCTCGCCCTTTCAGCCATGGGGGCGTCATAATGTGACGGTCAATCCCACTGTTCGTTGGTAAAAGAGTAGCCCAAGAGTTGGCAGTGGGTGGTGATGACTAGCTGCCTTCCCTCTAGTCTTACACTGCTAAATTAGGGACGGCTAGCGCAGATAGCCCTCGTGTAGCTTTGCGCGAAATTCAAAAACAAACAAACAAAACAAACGAAAAAAGCTAGGATCGTCTTTGTGACAAAATACATATGTAGTCAAAAGGTTGTCTCGTTCGCAGTAAGTACAGAAGAATAAGAAGACTCAACTGAGACTCTATTAATTTAGCTGTTGTGTAGATAGCTATGTAACAAACAAATGTAACAAACTTATAATTCTGAGACTGTATTAATTTAGCTGTTGTATAGATACCTATGTAACACAAATGGATGTTAGAGGAAACTGAGTTATTTATGTAAACTAGTTTCTTTACAATGATAAGTAAAATAATTGATAGGTTTAGATTTTAATTCTAATTTATATGTTTTCAGCTATGCAAGGTAAAATGTCAAGATATTTGTCCACAGATTCTGTTTCTAGTGTCAACTCTCAGTCCAGCATATATAGCACTTCTTCAGTAAGGTATGATAGTGCTGACGATAAAGGGAAGAAAAAGAAAAAAGGCTGGGTAGGTTTATATAATTTACTGGACTTTTCCTCGGGTAAATGAAATTATCTTGTGATCAAAAAATAAATTTTACTTAAGACTCTTGTAGTTGTGATTGTAGATTATGTAATGAATATGCATAATTATATATTTTTAATTACAAAGGGTTGAATACGTTATATTAAAAAGATTTTGGAACCTAATCATGTTGTTACAGTCCATGTCGCTACGTCCGGTTATGCTCTGCCTCAAGACTGTGCATCTTAATAATAGTCCTGCAGCATTGTTTCTATTACAGAAAGTTCCTTCGCAATATTCTCGTGTCCAAAGCACACCACTAATCCCTGCGTGCTTTCCATAAGTTTTCTAGTGTGAGAGAGTTACAGTTTAGTAGTAAACGTTTCAACCGCACAGAAAGCCATAGGTGCTGCGTCCGGCAATTTGACCGCTATGTCTTCATATGGAATAGTATAAATATCCATTTCATTCTCTAACTACTTGAGGTTTGTGACGTTGAGTGTGGGGTGTGTGTGGTGGTGGGGGGGGGGTCTGGAAGTCTTATCTTGGTGAACCCATAACCTGTTGGCCTCGTTTGCAGACAGAGATACTTCTTGTTAGTCTTCATTATGTTGCATACTGGTGCCTGGGGCACGATGGCAGATTTGGATTCTCGCCTATTGCAGTACATCATATTTTGCTTACCATAGCTGGATTGCTGCTTATTACAGGTCTCTTTCTGGATGATCCTGATTCTCCAAGTTGATCCTTTGCTCCAAGTTCCTTTGCTTTCCCAATGATATTAAGTACAAGAGACATGACATTTAGGAAATTCTAAATCCTCAATCTGAACACATCTATATAATCCGAGTGCGTGAATATTTTGTATCGGAAAAGGCTATTCCATACCTTTCCCAAAAGTAATCAGTTTTCGTTGGCATTACATTACCTATGAAATGACAAGCAATGTCGAAATACAGTTCTGACATATATCGTTTATTGCGACTTTATATTGGTTGTAGTTGTCACGTATCATGTTGATTTGCATATCAAAAATTGTTTTAATATAACATATTTAACCCTGTAGTATGAATATTGACTAATGATCTGATAATCTTTAAGAATATTACGGAGATTTCTGTTATCGTAGATGGTGCCATTATTATATACTGTAATTCTCTTAAATATTTAATAGTTCTCCATTGTGTTATATTAAAAGTTTGCGTCACCGTACTGTGTTTATCGATAACAGCATGATTTAAGTTTCCTAGATTATCCGTATAAACATAAGAAGAATAACAACTCGATTATTAGTGCTTATCGTATAGAAGATTAGGTTAAATCGTAATGAAAGTGCTGGATTATGGTTTATTACAGTTGCGCAGTTCGTTCAGCAAGGCTTTTTCTCGTAGCAAAAAGAATAAGAACGGGTCAGTGTCAGATGTAGAGGATTTGAAGCAGTTCCAGTCTGATTCATCTACATCGAACACCCCTTCACTTGAACCATATCTACTGCATGGACACTTCTTAAATTCATCTCATTCGTTTTCAGCGTAAGTGTAACTAGAACACTACAACTATTGTACTGCGATTACTAGGATAACAAATATAATTAAACTTCACTATGTTGCTCACCTTCCCTCTTCCCGACGGTTCAACGTAAACTTGAGGGCATATAACGCTAAAATTAGATTTTGTTAAACACGGTGGGCACAACGCATACAGCCCATTATACAACTCACTATGTGTAATATAAAAACTTATAATTCTGGTTAAGAATTCAATCTCAACTGCATTTGACATGTTATTGTACTTCTTTCCTTCTGTAACTGTAATTTGTAAGCCATATTATGTACGGTCATAAATTATTCATTTTATTTTGTTAAAAACAAATGTTCACATTTGTAATAATATTTTTTTGTTTTGATATATTAGTGAAAGCTTTTGAATATAATAGCATGCTTTTTAAATAAATTATAGTTTTGTATCGGTTTACTAAAAATCACCCTATTCAATTATTTAAAATTATAATCAGTCTTAATTTATTCAAGTAGGTTTCTTTGTTTGTTTGTAATTAAGCACAAAGCTACAGAATGGGCTATCTGTCCTCTGCCCACCACGGGTATCGAAACCTGGATTCTAGCGTTGTAAGTCCGCAGACATACCGCTGTGCCACTGGGGAGGGGGCATTTATCTATTTCTGATTTGTAAAAAATTGGATTCTGATTTGTGGTAAAATATTATACATAATGCAAGTAACCAAAAAATGAGATTTCACTCATTGTGTGAGCATGTGAACAGCTATTCCTATACGTTGCCTGACAATTAGGCCATGAGATCTTAACATAGATTTCAATATACATCTCTGTGCAAGAAAGCTTTCTGTCTCATTAGGTTGACCAATTACAGTAGTTTTATGTATTATAAAACCTTAAAGCATGCCCTTGTGACTAACTATAATGAATTTAATATTTACTGATTATATTACTTTGGAAAGTTCCTACCATAAATTTAATTTAAACAGGAACGTCGAGAGCCAGCACGGGTCCCGGGGCAAACATCCTCGCCAGGCCCCCTTTCTCTCTCTCTCTTTTAACATTTTCAAGAATTTATTAAAACGAAGATTCTAAATTAGGACAGTAACGAGCTCATAAACCACACAAAATCGGCCGTTTTTACCTCACAGTATAAGCGTAAAAACGTTAATAAATTAACAACAAATATCTATTAAATCTATAAAGTAACAAATACATGTTAATTATTACTCAAATTATTATTCGAGTCTTTCTTAATGTATCAAGCGTCTATATGCAAAGAAAAGCCAAAAAATGTGGTTTTTATCATTAAATGAAGATATAACCTAAAGATGCTTTGCGGGCTTTACAGCATAACCAGGTTTCATTCGCCCGGACTCCTGGGCTGTTGCCCCCTTTGCCGCCCCCTGTCGGCGGGTCTGAAATTTAAACAACAAACAATGGGATTGATTTGTGAGATTTATCTCTTCATTTTACAAGAAAAAATAACATTAAACTATGTTTCATATAAAAATATTAATTTATTTTAAAACATTCTCTCAAAAAAATGGTTTGGGGTTGAAATATAGTTATGTGAACATTACCGTTCACAGAACTTGAGGTTTCCATGGGATGCTTGTGTCTTTTTGTGTGTGTGTTTAATCCTTCATCACAAAACAAAAGAACTCACTATAAGTATAAAGCCTAAAACTTTATTCACTATAACATCTAAGGTATGAGGAATGCTCTGAAACAGTATAAGTTCTGCAAGTTAAGCTTTTTTTTGCTATTGAAGAACGTCTGTTTGAAACTTCCCAAATACAGGGAATGCTTCTGCAGACCACTCATCTTGTTCTGTAGGAATTTCTTTAGCATCTGAAGGAGATTCTTATGTATGTTTTTCTAGCCTTTATGAAAAAGAAGATGAATGTTCACTAGAACTTATGAAAGACCTAAGAAAACAGTTACGAGAAAAAGACATGATTCTTACCGATATTCGTCTTGAAGCTCTGACTTCAGCTCATCAAATAGAAAGCCTGAAAGATATTGTGAATAAAATGAAGGTAAAATAAACATTATCATACATCTACATAGGCAAAACTTTGAACTAGAGCATTACATCACCTTTATATTTTTAGCACAATGTATTATGATGTAGTATTACTATTATCAAACCTGTTGGATTGATGTTTTGAAAAAATTCATTTTTAAAGTTCTAATTATCTGATAGGCTTCCAAAGACTTGACAAACAATTCTTTAAATTGAAAAGAATAAAAATGTGAGGCAAATTTTCATATAATTATTTAAAAGTTTTATATGTGATTAATGACTATGTAATAACAGGAAAGGTAATCATATTTTTGCCTTCAATAATTAGTATAGGGTATATATTTAAGTATATTGAGGTATTTTTTGTAAATTATTGTGCAGGTGTCCTGCACATAGTTGCAACATTCTTGTAAACTAAATGTAAGTAAGTTTAGTAATCCTCTTAAATTTAATCAAGGTTACATACCACAATGATTGTTCTTTAGGACTTACTTAGTTCTGTTTGTGCCATTCTCTCCTGGATGGGATCATAATCATTCCAAGTTATGGTACAAGCTAATATGAGTTTATCTCCCTTGAATTTAGGAATGATAATTGGTGATGGTAATCTAAGGATTGTGAGATGGTGCCATAAAAGTGGTGTTCATACATAATTCTGGATCTCTTTTGATTTTTTTCTTGCCTTTTAGAAATCCAAACACACCCAGAAGTCAGTTTCAGTCCTTCAGAAAAATACAGATTTACAGTTGTATTGTATGAATAAACAATTTGGCCATTTTCTTTGCTGCCCAAGTTCATTTTAATACTCTGCCTAACATATCTAGAACTTGTGTTTTGGAGATACTTGATTTATTTATGTATACCACAGTTTTAATCTTATGATAACCTAAAATGCTTATTATAAAAATACTGTATAACAACAATATGTCATTGTCTTTTTAATTTTTATTAGAAATATGGTATTGTTAGGTAATTTCTCCTTTTTTTGGATATGTTAAAACATCTTATCAACATTAACGTTCACTTGACTGTGCATTTAGAAATATGAAAATTGTACATTTTAAAATCAAAATTACAATTTTCTGTTAAATCTGATGTAAGTTTTATTCCTGTATACATTTTCAGGAAAATTTTAAGTACTTTATATATTTTGTTGGTGCATTCTAAAACTACTTTATTTTGAGTGTTACAATTTTTTGATGTTTTCAAGGTAGTAGTACAAGTTTTCTACTTTATTAAATTTTTACCACATCATTTTTGTAGGTTTTGAAGATTTTGTTTTATTATAAAGGACAGATATCTTTATTTTATCAGCTTGTAGGTTTGTACCATAAAATAAGGAACAAAAAATTGGTAATGTCTATAATGTTAAGACTGAAAATATATATAAATATTTCAGTTTTTCCTGACCTAGAATAGATTTCCACCAAAACAAATATATGGTAGTATTTCGACTAAACCTTATCATATCATACATGCTTCTGTCAAATGGCCTGTACTTCTTTAACTTTATACACCATATAACTGTAAAAGAGTATATTATACTTAATAATTTCAGGTTGAAATGACAAAACTCAAACAAGATAATGAAAGACTGCAACGACTTGTGTCCTGCAAATCTTTAAACTCGTCACAAAGATCACTTACTAGTAAGGACATTGTGAACAGTTTTGAGAAATGTTTAAGTACCTCAGAAAACACAGGGCCCCCTATTGTTGGTAAGTAGCTAGAACCAAGTAGTTTTGTCTTTTGAGTTGTTTTTACCACCTCTACTTGTAGCTCCATGAGTGGAATTGTGTTGTTAATAATGAGTATATTAAGCAACTAGGTTATTTTATAAAAAATATTACAAGCCTAGAAGGAACAAACCTGTGATCTTTGGGGTAAACTTGATGAGTTTTGTATTTCTCAACAGACAAAGATTAGCTATCTTGACATCAGTGTGTGTGTGATATTTCATAATAGTGTGTAGACAGTTTCAATATTTTTATGAAATTTTAATAGAAAATGGATGGATAAACAGTAAGTCAATCATTTATTATACTTAGTTGGAAGAAAATGAATTAGCCTCATTGAAATATTGGATATGTATGTCATATTAGATGTCACATTGACTTGTGAAAGTGATAGAAAATGTTAAGGATATTCATGTCACTCCTGTATTAAAAAGAATTAAACCAGTTGAAAAACACTATACTTTAAGTTTTATAATGAAATGTTACTAATAGTTTAACATGTTTTTGTGTGTGTTTTTTTATAGCAAAGCCACATTGAGCTATCTGCTGTGTCCACTAGTTTAACAAGACTCAAATGATTTTGTTCTGGAATGGTATTAAATTTTTCTTCTTTCTTATCTTTTAATCCCAGACAATATGTTCTAACTCAAGTTTTACCTGATGCTTCTGTTTTCTAGATACATACCTTAATGATGTAACCTCAGATAGGGCTGGAAAAAAAATCACTATATCAGCATACTTGTGCTGCCATGGGAATTATTGTAAAGTCAAAACACAGCATAAGGTAAAATGTTTGTATGACTATTCATTTATTTACATTGCTTTTTATCACTGACTTTCCTACTGTAAAAGTTAATTCAGAATCATCATATATCTTTCTCTTTAATAGACATTTACGTTATTGATACATATCTGTATAATATATACATTTCTTAACAGTTTATTGTTGGGAATAGAGCTTTTTTTAGTATAAGATTTTGCCTCTAAAAGTGAAACTTTTAGAAGTTTCACTTTTAGAAACTACTTACTCAAAAAGTAACTGTAATACTTGGACAAGGTACCTTACTTCCACTCACATACAATAGCTATTTTTGTTCAGGGCTGCATTCTATTTGCAAAATTTTGTTTGCATACCACAACTCTTTCACTCCCACCTACCCCTCAGTTCACAAGGTTAACTGATTCACTCATGCAAATTGTCATGCAACAAACCTCCACCAACAGGTGTTCCCCCACACACGTGACTCATGTGACACTCTCTATGCTGTTCTACATAACTATCACTTCTCCTTTGGTAGTGCTAGTGTTCAGACGTTTTCTTTAGTATTCTCTTGGAAATTTGAACTTGTGTATTGTTTATTTTCCATCTTTTTACTTATTTTAAATATTTGTTCTTTGTACCTCAATTCATCGTGGTATTATTTAATTTGCTACCCAGTCATTGAACTTATTCATTTTTGTGTGATTTTCATTCTTTACCAACACAGTTGTGTTTGTTTTTCATTTACATTATGAATTCTGAAGTAAAAGTTACCACATCAGAGGTCATACCAGCACATTTACTTAGGCTTCAGGTGGGGTGAACTCGACTTTGGAATTATCGGCAATTCTTCGTAGTGTTGCGTCAGCGAGATCACGTGACTAGTGTCACGCCACCTATTTTCTAGAAATATCCTGTTCCTTCGTGAATGCCCTAGCATTTAGTAGATATATGTTAGTCTGGTATATATATAAGACGCTCACAACGTGACGAGACAATGTGTGTAGGTAGTGAGTAATTGAACTGCAGTTGTTATAGTGTTTGTTATAGAGCGACTGTTGAAAATAAGTGTATCGGTAAAGTTATATTCAGAAAGAATAA